GTGTGTGTGTGTGTGTGTGTGTGTGTGGTGTGTGTGTGTGTGTGTGTGTGTGTGTGTGTGTGGTGTGTGTGTGTGTGTGTGTGTGTGTGTGTGTGTGTGTGTGCGTGTGTGTGTGCGTGTGTGTGCGCGTGCGTGTGTGTGTGTGCGTGTGTGCGTGTGTGTGTGCGTGTGTGTGTGTGTGTGTGTGTGTGTTCTCTGAAGTTAAAAGCAGCGCCTGTCTCAACCTTTCATTTGCTTACTTTATGTGTGTTTATTGATTTTATGATGATTCTTATTTTTCTTATTTCTTATTCATTTTGCATTTGCTTTATCATTATTAAGCTTAGAAAGGTGAGGTTACCCCATTCATTCCTAATGCATTTATTTATTTATTTTTTAAATCATTTTACTCTCGCACCATGCTTCTTTTCTTTTGTTGTACCATTGTTATGCTGCTTTATTTGACTGTGTGTGTGTTAGTGTTGAATGCAGAGGTGGGAGAAGTACTATAACTTTCTAAGTAGTAAAAATGGAAAAGTAGTAATACCACAGTGTAGAATACTCTGGTAGGTGGCGATGTAGCCCATCGATCCACCAGGTAAAAGGGTATAAGGGATACAAAATATTTGATTAAATGCCATTCAGCAAACACTACTGCGGAGCTGCAAATATTATTGAAGTAACAACTACTTCTGTTAGTCCATGAAACATACTGTGTTAACCAAAGCCTAAACAAAGACCAAAGGTTACCCTGTTAGCTTTTTCCCGTATTTGTGAATGAAGCGCCATCTCATGGTAAAACCATGCAATTGAACAAATGGGCGGGTCTACAGTGGAATCTAGCCCCGACCTCTCAGGAAACAGGGGTGGATAAGTTAGGTTTCCGCCTGGTATTCAGTATGTGGTGAGACACAAGCCTGGCATTCAACATTTTACTAAAGTAAAATAAAAAATATTACCATCAAAATATACTTAAAGTAGCAAAGCTAAAAGTAATAATTATGAAGAATGCCCTTTTCTTAGAAGTATTACTATTTTATCACTGGATTATAATTAATGACACATTAATGTGAACATCATTTTAATTATGTAGCTTGTAAAAATATAGATAATTAATGACTTTTTATACTGCCAAGAATATTCATCCATAATAATACCCCATAATTCACAATTCAATGTATTTATTTTTAATGAATAATATGTACCTTCAAAGCAACTACCTAATCTTGTCAAATCAATAAGTAGTGAGAAATTGTAATGGAGTAGTGTGAAGTAGTATAAAACTGAAAAACTCATAGTACCTCAAAATTAAGTACAGTACGTGTGTGTGTGTGTGTGTGTGTGTGTGTGTGTGTGTGTGTGTGTGTGTGTGTGTGTGTGTGTGTGTGTGTGTGTGTGTGTGTGTGTGTGTGTGTGTGTGTGTGTGTGTGTGTGTGTGTGTGTGTGTGTGTGTGTGTGTGTGTGTGTGTGTGTGTGTGTGTGTGTGTGTGTGTGTGTGTGTGTGTGTGGTGTGTGTGTGTGTGTGTGTGTGTGTGTGTGTGTGTGTGTGTGTGTGTGTGCGTGCAGATATATGTTTTTAAAAGTTTGAGATATGGAGGATAGATACGTTGGTGTGATTTACTGCATTAATTTCTTCTGCATTATATGACACATTGAACGCATCAACACCAAGTCTGCAGTGATGTCTAACTTTCCTGCAGAGTTCCTCTGATTCAGCCCTCAGGCTCAGAAAGTAACAAAAGACTGCATTTGTCAGCTGAAGCAGCGCCGCAGCATTTGGCACTCGGGGGGGGGGGGGGGGGGGGGGGGTCATCGATCCAGCCTCTACAGTCCTCAGCAAAGATTCCTCCTAAATCTGCTCTCTAGGAAGCTGCCGGCCTGCGGGCTGTCGCTCAGATAAATGAGTCTGTTTATAATCTGCTGACAGACTCACAATAACATTTATTTATGATGAAAAGATGCAAGATCGATGTGATGGGATATTAAAGAGCTGCGGGGGGGGCTGCAGCAGCGTGCTGCAGGAACATCTCTCAGTGCTGCCTCAGAAAGCAGACAGGCATCGCATCTGCAGACAAAATGTCCCTTTAGTGGAAAATGTTCTGGCATTTTAATGACTGATTTTAAATGCCATTTTCTTAATGTCTTTCGTTTTTTGTAAAGCACTTTGAATTGCCTTGTGTTGAAAGGTGCTATATAAATAAACTTGCCTTGCCTTGCAAAACTGCTTGGCTGAAGAACAGAGGAAACTAAGCACAATCCGAAAAAAACTAGGAGCACAATCAAGTATTATATAACAAATTGAATATCAATGATATGGACACATACAGTAGTGTAGTACCCCAAGTGAAGGAGTTCAAGTATCTCGGGGTCTTGTTCTCGAGTGAGGGAACAATGGAGCGTGAGATGGGCCGGAGAATCGGAGCAGCCGGAGCGGTACTGCAGTCGCTTTACCGCACCGTTGTGACGAAAAGGGAGCTGAGCCAGAAGGCAAAGCTCTCTGTCTACCGGGCCATTTTCCTTCCTACCCTCACCTATGGTCATGAAGGATGGGTCATGACCGAAAGAACGAGATCGCGGATACAAGCGGCCGAGATGGGTTTTCTCCGCAGGGTGGCTGGTGTCTCCCTTAGGGATAAGGTGAGAAGTTCAGTCATCCGGGAGGGACTCGGAGTTGAGCCGCTCCTCCTTCGCGTCGAAAGGAGCCAGTTGAGGTGGTTCGGGCACCTAGTTAGGATGCCACCTGGGCGCCTCCCTAGGGAGGTGTTCCAGGCACGTCCAGCTGGGAAGAGACCAAGGGGTAGACCTAGGACCAGGTGGAGGGATTATATCTCTTCGCTGGCCTGGGAGCGCCTTGGGATCCCCCAGTCAGAGCTGGTTGATGTGGCCAGGGAAAAGAAAGTTTGGGGCTCTCTGCTGGAACTGCTACCCCCGCGACCCGACCACGGATAAGCGGGAGAAGATGGATGGATGGACAGTAGTGTAGTGCAGTGTAACAAAATACAAAAAGACATAAATAATAATAAACATAATGTTTGCGCAATCCTGACTTTAGACCAATCATAACAAATGTCAAATATTGTATGTTTACGCAGATGCTATTTGTTATTTAAACCCCGGGGGGAAAAGCTATGGTGTAGCTATTTTCAACTGGGTGCGATTAGACACTCCGTTATCTTATTCATACTAAATAAAACGCTTAGAGGTACAAATGGTGACATTGGTCCAAAGCATAATGTTTCCACTTCCATGCTTGACGGGGGGGACGGTGTTCTTGGGGTTATAGTCAGCATTTCTCCAAAGATCAACATTTTGGTCTCATCAAAATTGATCACCTTCTCCCAAGCCTTCTCTGAATCAATCAGATGCTCCTTGTCAAACTTCAGACGGCCTGTCATGTTCATCTTGAGCAGGGGGCCTTCAGGCGCTGCAGGATGTGATCCATGAGGGTGTCGTGTGTTACCAATAGTTTTCTTGGTGACTGTGGTCCCAGCTGCCTTGAGATTACATTACATTACATTACATTTAGCTGACGCTTTTATCCAAAGCGACTTACAATAAGTACATTCGACCAGGAAGACACAACCTTGAAGAAAACAAAATCATATAAGTACATCAGGTTTCATAGAGTCAAACATTTCAAGTGCTACTCAACTGCTTTAGATAAGCCAGTCCTTTATTAGTATAAAAGTGCTTCGTTAATAGTTCTATCGCTCGAAGTGGAGTCGAAAGAGATGAGTTTTCAGTTTGCGCCGGAGATCATTAACAAGTTCCTCCGTGTAGTTCTTGGCTGATCCCTCACCTTTCTCATCATCACCAAGACCCCACGGGGCCAGATCTTGTGTGGAGCTCCAGCCCGAGGGCGACTGATGCTCATTTAGTCTTTCTTCTATTTCTGAATAATGGCATCAACAGTTGTCTCCTTCTCACCGAGCTGCTTTCTGATGACCTTGTAGCCGATCCCAGCCTGGTGCAGGTCTACAGTCTTGTCCCTGAGGTCCTTAGACCACTCTTTAGTCTTGCCCATGGTGGAGAGGTTGGAATCTGATTCTGTGGACGGGTGTCTTTTATACAGGTAACAAGTTGATATAAGGAGTACTTTTTGAAAGGACTGTGGAAGCCAGAATCCTTGTTGGTTGCAAGGGGATCGAATACTTATTTCCCACAGTTAAATGCAAGTCAATTGTTATCTTTTATATAATGTAGATTTCTGGATTTTCTTTTTGACATTCTTACTCTCACTGTTCAAATAAACCTACCATTTAAATTATAGACTGTTCATTTCTTTGTAAGTGAGTACACTTACAAAATATGCAGGGGATCAAATACTTATTTCCTCCACTGTATATATATATACATTTTCAACTTTCACACCCGGAAAACCTTACCATGACCCTTGCACACACAGACAAATCTATATATTATATAAAATATGGGTGTTTTATCATTTATATGTGTTGCTCCAGGCAACAGATTTGTTCTGCTTTTTTCAGAAAGCAACATGTTGTCAGTGCTGTAAAAAACAAAAGGCTTTTCTTTCAGCAGCCATCGCTCAGACGCTATAGAATCAATGCTTATTTATTTATTTGATTGATCTTATTTTACAGATCCAACCACCTCTCTCCTGGAGCCCTTAAGGTCCTTGGCTGAATTTCATTATTTGTTTTACTTTTCTTACTATTAAGATATGAAGGGTTGCTACTATGGCACACCAAAGAATAGTTGTTGTTAATCACGTATCTACTAGCATATATTTTGTACTGATCATCTACATCCACAAAATGTAGTGAAGTAGAATTATAAAGTAGCATAAAATGGAAACACTCTAAGTAGTCCAAGTATCGTTAAACTATACTTGAGTATATGTACTTAGTTACATTACCACTACTAGTAGAGGTTTGGGTATTGTTGGGAGTATTGAGTATTATTATGTTTTTATGGATAACACCTTTTTTAAATAAATGAAATCAAACAAAAGGTTTACAATATATTTAATAAAGCTTTATGTCTGTGATGTGTTTCAGATCGCGCCCTGCCTTTAGCTTTCCTTCAACACTTCCTGTTCACCGCCTCACGGCCACCACCAGCAACAGCATGGAGTCCAAGCAGCCAATCAGCGAGCATCATGAAGGGACGAGCAACCCCCACGCCGTGACCTCTCAACCGCCCCCGGCAGCAGATGCATCAGCAGCCAATCAAACGGACCATATGGCTCACCTGTCCGTCATCGACAACGCAGAGACCAGTAAATACACCTGACCCGCACCTGTGTATAGACACCTCCCAACACTTAATTCCCATGCACTTTATTCATTTAAGTACTGCAGCCAAGTATAATACTGATGTACCTTTACTTGGCTTTTTTCATTTTATGCTACTTTAAGCTTGATTTATGCTCGCCATATTGTTCCCTATGTGAGGGGGTCACGTTCAAAAAACACATTTAAATTCAAATATACTTTTGGTAGATTTGCGCTGCCAAATCAGTGATATGTTATAAATGATGACCTATTTTGTGATTACTTTTACATCTGATTTAGTTGTTTTAATGCATACGGCCTACATTTTTGCAAGGACGTGAATTGTTATTTAATCTAAGTAGGGATGCTCCGATCGATCGGTCACCGATCGATATCGGCCGATACTCACTCTCTACCGATCGATCGGTGCTCTCTAAACATGCCGATCGCGAGAGCCGATCGCATGACGTAAAATACATGACACTTTTCTCTGTGAGCGGCAAAACAAGCTCGCCAAAATGGCTTCACCGGTCTGGCATTATTTTAAGGTGTCCGAAAAAGACAGTAAAATAGCGGTATGCAACGTGTGTGAAGCAGAAATCCTGCAGCTCCGCCCGCCGGACAGGTAAGCGCAGCGAAACACACACAGGGAGAACCAGACCGCAGTTCATTTCCTCATATTCCAAACGAGAAATTACGGTAACAAATCACCCGGTTCTTTACGACCAGAACTATTAACGGGATACAAACCGGAGGAACCAGGCATGGAGGGAGGTGGCAGAGACAGTGGGTGAAACTGGTAAGTTTTCGCCTGTTTGGGGAGTTTATATATATATTGCTCGCATAAAATCCCCGGGGTTTTTTGCTTTGTATGTCGGGGGCGGGAGATTCATGTGATTGGTTGTTGGTCGCGTTGCTCGCAAAAAATCCCCAAGCTTTCAGACACGCCCAGCTCCAAGATTTTGAAGATTTTTGAAAAGCTGCTGTGTGGACGTACCGTAAGAGTTAGACCTAACACACTTAGCTATTTTATACCTCTGGAACTAGCTAAACTAGTTATTATAAATATATGTATTCTTCATTGTCGGGTCACTCATTACTGGATCAGTGAGCTGCATGAGATACTGACAGGCTGTCAGGAGAGGGAGAGAGAGGGAGAGAGGAAAAGAGAGCGCTTCCGCTAATTTCTCCCGTGTTATTATCCAAAGTGAATGTAAACTTGAATAATGTACATCATTTGAATGTAATAATTAAGTAGATTGTTGTTTGTGGAAGCTCCAGTGAATGAGCCCCATTAACTGAGTTTTAAACATCACTTTAAATGGAAGATTTAAAGTGATGTTTAAATCTTCCATTTAGGCCCCGCCCACTCGATCGGATCGGCGATCGGTATCGGCTGATACTGATTGCGGCGATCGGCGATCGGCCCCGAAATTGGCGATCGGAGCATCCCTAAATCTAAGTGTGACGACAGTTCATAAAATACCAAAACACACATTAAGAAATGAGCCTCATTAGTCATTAATACCAACTTTATGAAATCCAACTTTTTATTATCAGGCTTTAAATCTATAGCCCTCGCTTAAAAATGATGCTCAGAAGCAATGGTATTATTCCTTTTTCAATATGTTAGTGCGTCATAGTTTCAGACTTCCTGTCTGCGCCTCTCAGCTACAAGTTCATTGGTACTACTGAAGTTGTAAACACTTTTACATTTTATTTTGAACAAATGTCCTCTCTGGAACCTTGTGTTGCAGATAACGGCCTGGAACATGCAATGGGGGACGCGTCTCCCACGGTGTCCTCAATGTCGCCCAAGCACCACGCGGCGGGCGGCCATGCTAACGGCCGGCCCGGTCTGAGCAGCCGTTCGGGGTCCATGGCGGGCTCCCCCCGGCCCTCCCTCACCCGCCGGCCCAGCGGCATCACGGAGGCTGCTGTGGACGGGTCCAAGCCCCGCGACTACCTGTTCCTCGCCATCCTGTCCTGCTTCTGCCCGCTGTGGCCCATCAACATCGTAGCCCTCACCTTCTCTGTCATGGTACGACCGTAGACTTTCCTTTGTGTAATCCTACAGGGATTAATAAAGGTCCATTTTATTTTAAATAAACCCAACTGACTGTAATTAGCTGGTTAGTTACAGGTTAGTTCTTCTTCTTCTTCTTCTTCTTCTTCTTCTTCTTCTTCTTCTTCTTCTTCTTCTTCTTCTTCTTCTTCTTCTTCTTATTCTTATTCTTCTTCTTCTTCTTATTCTTATTCTTCTTCTTCTATCACCATTTCGGCTAGTTCGGATAATAACTTAAAATAACTCGATATTTTTGGTAGCAATATCTGACGCATCCTTGTTTTCACGGAAGAAAGTGCCTGAAGAAAAAATGAATGTAAAGTATAAAGTGTAACAGCTCACAGGGACCAAATAAAACAACAATGTTTTTGACGTCACCTGGAAGGTTTTTAACATCCTCCTGAATGTATAGTCTTGTGTTTCATGACATCTGTTACAGATCTTTCATTATTTCACAGCCATTGTATTGCACATTCAACATTTAGTTTATAATGACGAGTAACATTTTGAATGACATTTTCTTCACTGTTTATACTCTGTTCAGTCCCGAAACAGTCTGCAGCAGGGCAACGTGGACGGAGCTCGCCGTTTAGGCCGCAACGCCATGATTCTGTCTGTGGTCGCCATCTTGGGAGGGATCGCCATCATCGCTGCGGCCATCGCCCTCAACTGGGGATGTGAGTTACACGGAACACCAAAAACGACACTAAAACACAATTTAAATTTGAAATGACCTTATTGTTTTTTAAAAACTCAAGTATAAATCACTTTAATTTGTAGTTAAGTAAATGTAGTTAGATACCTTTTACAATTGTATTAAATGCTGTTCAGGATCAGGATCAGAGTAGCCTACTATATTTATCTCGGCGGAAATGGCATTTTGTAACCATATCAAATGTAAAAATCGAATACATTTAAATAAATAAGTGAATAACAATTGAGAAGTTAAATTAAAATGTGGATATATCTACTACTTCTACTGTACTACAATATGTAACGACAGCAAATCATAATATATACAGTAGAGTAGTTATATTAATAATAATATGGTCAAGATTAACTCTTAAATATGTGTGACTTTCTGTCTTTTTCTCTCTGCAGTAATTTTAAAATCCTGATAAAAAAATAATAATAATGGCGACACACCGACTACACGACAACATCCGACCGACACGACTCCGTTTCCCCTCCCCGAACTTCCTGAATCGTTTCTCCAGCGCCTGCACCAGATGAAAAACTAAACCTGTTCCCTGCTATTGTTTTCTTGCTGCACGACGACGACGAGCATGGACACTCCCCAGACACCCACGCCTCCATTTGGATTAGGAGAAAAGTGTGGGTCACCTGATGTTCATCTCACCCTGTGGTCCACAAGGACATCTGGGATATATGAGCCTCCATGCAACAAGTCCAGCGATGGTGCAAACCTTCTGATTCTTTTATGCCAAATATTTGAAGACTTGGTGTTCTTGGTGTTCTTGGTGTTCTTGGTGAACTGAAAGAGGGAATGCTGCTGCTGATGGTCCGGCATGAACATGAAGACCAACTTTAAGAGTATTTATAGAGAGAGAGAGACTCGTGTTTCATCATCCAGATCTTCCTGCTGCTGTTCATGGTGCACAAACATAAAGTCGACACACTCATAGAGAGTCCTGACGTCACAACTTAGCAGCTGTTTACTAAAACAACGTTCACGTTTTCTTCTCTTTGTGTATTCCAATATAAAGGAAACTGCTATCTAACACAGTTATAGGCCTGTTGAAATATAAACCATTAGTTGTTTCAACAAAGTGAAAGGATAAAGAGGGAGTTATCCCCGGCGTCATGCAGAGACCCAAACACAAATCCTTAAAAACACAAATATATAATAAAGTATGAGTAAAGTGTATGAGAAAAAAAACTGCATATGATATTTTGCGAAAAGCGTTTTCTCCAAAAAATATCCAGGAAATGATTTTAATTGAAAGTCGCTTCATCCACATCAGTCTTGATCAGAAACAAATTGGTTAGTTTTAGGTGAAGGGTCTAAAATAACAGAAGTTTTGATAACAAATAAATGAACCTTGACTTCTGGTTTACAGGGGACAAAAAGGACTGCATTATTCATACACACAGACAGTGTGGGGGAAGGCATTTTGGGTTTGTAGATTATTTTCTATTTGACGTTTTACATATTTTTATTGGTGTTTTCTGCTTTCTTGTTGACGTTTTGCGGCTCTTTGTTAGCGTTTTATGTTTCTTCTTTGGCTTTTTGCGTATATTTGTTGAGGTCTTGAGTCACTTTGTGGCCATTTTGCGTCTCTTTATTGGCGTTTTACACCTTTTTGTTGGCGTTCACATCTCTTTGTTGCATTTGCATCCCTTATTATTTAGCATACAAGAGTATGCTAATTCCAAAAAGTTATTCTTCATTTTACGTGCATTCTCCTACAAATGTCCAGTAAAACAAACCGCTTGTTACATACATTTGGTACTCAAAGTAAAAGGTTGTTTTCACAAAAAAGCGAATGTTTAGGTCGAGGAAAAGATTGTGATTTGGGTGAAAATAACTAATGGAAGTGGTGTTACATGACTATGGAAGTTACGTTTACAATTAAATCAACTTTGACTTCTCGTCCACCCGACCTCCGTACCAGGAGGACTTTGTCACTATTGGAAATGAATTTTCTGGGAAACTAACCAATTACAGTGCATTACTTTTGGTATGTATAGATACAAACAGCAACGCTGGGCCATACACAGCTGTTGTTTCTGTTTCTTTCAATGTTTGTGTGCTAATTGTGAACTGGGTGCGGGCTTTGAGGAAATAGGCTGTTGTTATGGATCTAAATCATCTCTTATAACATGTGCATGTTTACAGTATGTATAACAGAATGCTTTTACATAATACCGTAGCCTCATTTAGCAAGAGCGCTAACTGAGCAGCACTTTGTAAATACATAATACGGGAATTGTGTTATGTCTACCTGGTGTAGAGAGGTGCAGGAATTACTTATTTGAGTAGTACAAACCTTGAATTGAGCATTTCCCTGGTTCCTTCCACAAAGAGCTAATTGGATCTTTTCATTGGATTGTGGAATATTCCAGAAACAAATATCTGTGGAAAACCTACATTTAGGATACCGACACATTTTTTTCCAAAGGATAATCTCCACATATTAATAGAAATTCAATCTCCAGAAGAAAATGTTATGAACAAACTACAGCACGGTCACTTGACATCACCAGCGCCAAGCTAAAGGTGGCTAATCTTCGGCTGGATGAGATGTACTAGTCTCATTCAGCCACCTGTTAGCAACCGCGGTTTCAAAGACACAAAGAATCTTCAGAAATTGACGAGTAGGTTATATTATGACGCATTTAAAGTTGTAAGACGAAACGGTAAAATCTCTTTCGCATTTTTGAACCACAAACCTTATTTCAGGGTTCTGACCAAATGCACTTCCAGAGAAGGGATCAGGAAGTGCTAGAATGCTAACTCATTTCAGGGTTTGAGGACTCATTCCTGCAGCACGCTATTGATATCCAAATGTTTTCTCTTCCTTACGGATGTAAATCCCCACCAAGATTGCACAAGAGGGATTTTTTAAAAAGAAGGAAGCAGATAAATGTTGAACTTTGCACCAATCAGACGGCGTCTCTGCGTAGAGGTGAGGTCTGATGAGGTCAGATTGGGGGAGGAAGGTAAAGTTGCCTCACACCTTCACACTGTATGTAGCATGTTTACTAACCACATTATGCAAAACAACGGTCCCGGCTTGATTGTCAGTACGAATGCTAGCTTCCCTCAGTTTATTGTGTACTTGTACACGGTTGTGTATGGACTTTGCTTGCGCTACCTCTCAGAGTTGCCTACAGTGTTTTATCACGTTGTTCCACTGATTTTAACCGACTGTTAAATCTATTTGTGTTCCTTTTTTCACTTACTAACATACTAATAATGGTATTAACATGAAGGGTGTTAAATGTGAACACACTCCCAGAAATCTGTAATTCAACTGGTACAATTTCTGTGAGTGAAAAATATATGTATATAATAATACATATATTATATAATAATATATCTAATTTTACACATGAAATGAACAGTTCTGAGGAAGATTTTCAGCATGTATCATTTGTTTTGTTCCTTATTGGCCATTTTCCAAAAAGGATGCACATTCAATTACCAAATGACATACAAATAATAATCATATCTACTTTTTAAAGTATTAACCCTTAGATGCATAAGTGGGTCTTTTTGGACCCGGTGAGGTGGTTTTCTTGAAGTATCTTTGTAATTGCATTTTTTTTTATCATTTCATATTCCAGCTATTCCTCAAAAAACATGTTTTGGATATCATGCCATTCAAATTTTGTATTCACATTTGAAGAAATTGTAGTTTTTGTATTACTACCCCAAGCTTCCATAAGTGGGTCAAAAATGACCCGCATGTATTTCCTATGGAATCCTATGGGGAAACGTTTTTTTTCAAAATGTAAAAAAAATGTCTAAAATTATAAATAGTGAAAGATTAAATATAAAATATTTCTAGTGTGAACCAACATATAATACTAGATATTATACAAGTGATTTTTCTTAACCAAAATGACAAAAATGGCATAAAAACACATATTATTCTAATACGGGTCCTTTTTGACCCACTTATGGAAGAGTGTAGGGTCCAGTCACTCGTGCATCTAAGGGTTAATATAGAATCTAATTTACAGACTTTTTAGCAAATACTAAAATCTATCAAATTAGCCACTTGGATTATTGTTCATATTTTGCACCTTTCCTGAGATGTTTATGCTCATGATTAGCTGCATTCATTCAACAGCAATAATGATGAATTCAGGAGTACAATTCAATCATTGATGTACTTGTAAGTGTCAATTTGTAAAATGTCACTTTGTTTGAGGCAATGTTGTGTTATTTCAAGCTCATCATTTACTGTATTAATTCAAGAGCTTGATTTATAATGAATGTGATTACATTTATTCATTTACTTAGCATTTCCAAGAAAGGCTAAAAAAAATGAAAAGAATGAGGAGTTGCAGATAAGTTGCATTAAATAGATATACAACAGTCCAGTCAAAATACGAGAGGTCATAGCTTTTGATTTGATTTTGAAAATCTTCCGCAGAACATCTCAACATCACTTTCTTCTTGTGTTATTTCTTTAGTCTCCTGTCTATCATTTTCATTTATTTTGTAAATGCTCTTTTGACACCTGATTCCCTGATCTTTGTATTTTTATATTTCTATTCACATTATCTGGATCTCTTTTTTGTATTTACATGATAATCTACTGTTTGTAACGCTCTGTATAACCTGCTTCCTGCTTGCTAAAAAAACTCAAACTGGGGGGGTGCTATAAGCATGAGTCCTTATCTAATTATTGATTGCTATCTCCTGACACCGGACTCTTTCTGTACCTGTGCATGCCTTAAACTGACAGAATGAGTGTACACAAATACATTTATCAAAGTTGATCTACTGCTGTTGATTATTTGATCATGTTTGCAGGGAATAAATCCCATGAAATACCTATCAGTGAGCAGGCTCGTGAATACATCTGAGGGTAAATATCATTTCTTAATTTGACACTTTTACTGGTGGCAGCATTGTAAATAGGGGAGATGTAATTAGTGTTGGTACATTATACAGGCGTCTCTGGTCCAGGGAGCTTGTTCTATAAATCCCAGTCCTGGATGGAGATCTGAAGGAAACCAAATATTCATTTACGACTGCCAAACACACCAAGGGAACAGGGTACTATAGAGGAGTGTTACATTTACAAAGATGTGGATATTCTCAAAAAGAAGAAGACATTCTTAAGTCTCAAATATAAGTTAGATATATAGATTATAACGCTAAACATTTGCATAAAGAAAAAAGACATTCCTGATATCAAAATGTACAAGATAAAAAATTAAGGATTTTTTTTTCACTATTGGATTAAATGTATCTTAAAGGGGCCCTATGCTTTTTGGGGTTTACCCTTTCCTTTAGTGTGGGTGGGATACATCGGTTTTTGTGCATGTAAATGGTCTGCAAAGGCTAAATTCCCTGTGTTCCCTCCAGAGGGAGTTTCTCTCCCACACACACGTGCTATGTAACACTCGTGCTTTTATTGGCTATAGCGCTCCAACACATTGTACGTGACATCTCTAGAACAATCACAACAGAGCCGGCCAGCTAACCAATCAGAGCAGACTGGACTCTGGTTTCAGACAGAGGGTGAAAGAGGTGCTGCAGCACAGGCAGTGTGAGAGACATAAAGAGCTTTCTGAACATTAAAGCATGGAGACATGTCACAGTGGAGGAACAAAATACAAATATGAACCTAAAAATGAGAAGAATATTTCCTCGTGAATTAAGTCACATAAATACATTTCATTATAGGATATAGGACACACCTTTGGAAGCAGTGAGCCGCAATCAGCACCCATTCAGTGTTAATGAGGGACCCTCCACAGAAATGTTTGTTAAATCGATGCAGTGGAGACACTACATACTGATATGAACCTGAAAATGAGCAGAATAGGGCCTTTTTTACTACAGCAATGGGATTCAGCATTCACAATGTATTCATAAAACCAGCAGAAACCACTTTTATTTCTTGTTGACTATTAACAATTAGTCCAAGACAGAGATACCTTCCTCCTCCAGGCCATCAAGATCAATTGTTGTTAAAAAGTTGCTTGTATAGCTAAATAGCAGAGGTGGGGACTCGAGTCACATGACTTGACTCGAGTCCGACTCGAGTCGCATATTTGTGGACTTGAGACTTGCTCATGACTTGCGCATGTAGGACTTACTCCCACCTCTGCTAAATAGTCTCCGCAGGCCTTCTCAGTCCAAACAAATAAATGGGATACATTAACTGAATCATACAGTTCTTAGACTTTTCAAATGTCCCATAAAGATCACATTTTGATAATAGAAAGTATATTTCTCAGTCTTTTGAACACATCAACCTTTAATTATTGATGAGACAAAAAGTCAGTTATTATCCTTAATAAATATAAAAGTCCATCACTGAATCATATCGTTTGCCACTGTAGAGTGGAGAGATTATCACATATTATTGTCCCTTACATGTAAGTTCTTGTGTTTATCACAGTGTTGAGTGCAAAAGAATCACAAAAACCCTATAACACAGGACATGCTTTTATATCCTTGAAATGTTGTGCATACAGGTTTTACATTTAGTAAGTATTCCTCTTCTTTTTAAAGTCAGAAACATTACAATCGAAAAATACGGAGCCAGAAAAGTGGTGAGGGAGAGGGCTTCATTCTCTCATGGACCTTCTTTCTAGAACGAGGGGTTGTCATGGTTACCGTCTACGAGGGATACTGGGATGGAGAGGAGAGAGGTCTGACTCCTCACCGTTAATAAAAAGTGTGTGTGTGTGTGTGATGTTCATTTGAATGTTAGATTCTTATAAATTATTAAGAGACTTCACCGCTGAGGCTGCTACACAAGGAGATCAGACACGGAGAGAGGGGAGCAGGAGCGAAGAGGAAGAGGAACAGGAAGAAGAAGGAGAAGAAGAATAGATAGCGACAGGATGAGAGGATGCATACTGTACAATGTGTGTGTTGGGGGAAGACTGAGATAGAGGTGAAAGAGTATCCTGAGAGAATCTGCAGGATAAGAAACCAGACCAAAAAAAAGGAAGGGGGGGAGTGGTGTGTCATAATGCAGCTGAGGGTGGTTAGATAAAGCAGCAGAGGAAGAGGAGGAGGAAGAGGAGGAGGAGAAGAAGAAGAAGAAGAAGGAGAAGACAATGACTGAAGGAAAAGCAGGAGCTGAATGACTTAGACTTACAGTAGACATACTTTATTGTTATTTCAACAAGACAGAGTGTACTATTAAAACGAAATGTAGTTGTACTGGCTTACAGGAAGAGGACAATATAAAAACTTGCTAAAATTGTACATATAAATAAATAATAGTGACGTGGTGCTGATACAATTAAAGATAAAGAGTGTGTTTAAAATATAAAGACTTACTATACATATAAATAAAATAGACATACTATATAGAAAATATGTGCGTTTTACACAGCGTAATGTAATCTCTGTGTCACTGGTCTACTTGCTGTTCAGCAGTCTGATGGCTTGGGGAAAAAGCTATTGCAGAATCTGGCTGTTTTGCTCTTAATGCTGCAGAACCTCTTGCTGGAGGGCAGCAGGGAGAACCGAGCATGGTGAGGATGAGTGGGGTCTTTAAACATGTTCTGGGCTTTTGTCAGGCAGTGTTTCTGAGCGGTGTCTCTGATGGGAGGAAGAGACACTCCGATGATCTTCTCTGCTGTCCTAACCACTCTCTGCAGAGACTTCCAGTCTTTGGCGTTGCAGTCTCTCGACCAGATGGAGATGCCGCTGGTCAGCACGCTCTCTATGGTTCCTCTGTAGAACGTGGTGAGGATGGGAGGGGGGAGCTGTGCAGGAAGTGTAGGCGCTGCTGTGCCTTCTTAAATAGTGATGTAGTGTAAGTGGACCAGGTCAGACTGCTTGTGATATGCACCCCCAGGAACTTGGTGCTGCCTGTAGTCTTCACTGCTGTGTCGTTGATGTGGAGAGGTGGGTGACAGTGCTTTTTGTTCCTGAAGTCGACAATGATCTCTTTTGTTTTATCGACATTCAGGATCAGGTTGTTGGTGTTACACCAGTCTGTCAGATGTTTCACCTCCTCCCTGTAGGCCTGTTCGTTGTTGTCCCTGATGAGTCCCACCACTGTCGTATCGTCCGCATACTTTATGATGTGGTTGGTACTGAACCTGGAGCAGCAGCAGTCGTGGGTCATCAGGGTGAAAAGCAGTGGACTCAGAACGCAGCCCTGCGGGGAGCCGGTGTTTAAGGTGATGGTGCTGGAGGTGTTGTTACCGACCCGAACATACTGGGGTCTCTCTATTAGGAAATCCAGCAGCCAGTTACACAGGGGTGTGTTGAGTCCCAGGAGTCCCAGTTTGTTTACCAGATGCTGGGGGATGATTGTGTTGAACGCTGAGCTGAAATCCAGGAACAGCATTCGCACATGGGTGTTCTTCTCCTCCAGGTGGGCCAGGCTCACATGGAGCGCAGAGGAGATAGCGTCCTCTGTAGAGCGGTTAGGGCGGTAAGCAAACTGGAACGGGTCAAGTGTGGGGGGAAGTATGGAGACGATATGGTTCTTTACCAGCCTCTCAAAACACTTCATCATGATGGGGGTGAGTGCCACAGGCCGGTAATCATTCAGGCAGGTCACTGAGGATTTCTTTGGCACAGGTACAATGGCTGCCGTCTTAAAACATGATGGAACAATGGCCTGGTCCAGCGAGGTGTTGAAGATGTCTGTGAGGACATGGGCCAGCTGGTCCGCACAGTCCCTGTGCACCCGTCCTGGTATACTGTCGGGGCCTGCTGCCTTCCGGGGGTTGACTTTCCTCAGGGTCCTCCGAACTTCAGCTGTGTCAAGGCGAAGTCTTTATTCCCCCGGCTTGGGGACAGCTTTCATTGCAGTGGTGTTATTAAGTGCCTCAAAGCGACCAAAGTGATTATTGAGGTTGTTGAGAAATATAGTATCATTGTCACAGGGTGGTGGAGCAGCCTTGTATCCAGTGATGAACTGAATGCCCTGCCACATGCGCCTGCTATCCATGGGGTCATGGAAGAAACTCTGGATTTGTTGGCTATGGGCGAGCTTTGCATCTCTGATGGCATGGTCCAGGTTGGCTCTTGCTGTTCTAAGAACTGCCACGTCACCAGATCTGTAAGCCAAGTTTCGTGCTTACAGCAGAGCACGAACGTCCATATTCATCCAGGGTTTCTTATTGGCACGTGTGGTGATGTTCTTGAGGACAGAGACGTCTTCCATGCAGTTCTGGATGAATGCAGATACAGTCACAGCATACTCCTCCACATTAATCTGTTGGTTGACAGTTGCGGCCTCTTTAAACATGTCCCAATCTGTGCATTCAAAATAGTCCTGCAATGCTGACATGGATCCCTCAGGCCAGGTCCTCACCTGCTTCACCGGGCTTTTCTCTGATGAGCAGGGGCCTGTATGCAGGAATTAGCATAACAGAGAGATGGTCTGATGATCCGATGTGGGGGCGGGTGCTGCTCTGAAAGCCCCCTTAATGTTGGTGTAGGCCAGATCCAGTGTATGTTTGCCTCTGGTTGCAAACTGCACATGCTGATAGAACTGAGGGAGAACTGTCTTCATGTTAGCCTGGTTAAAGTCCCCAGCAACAATAAAGACACCCTTTGGATGTGCAGTCTGCAGCTCACTGATGTTGTGGTAGAGAGCAGTCATGGCCTCTTCAGTATTAGCGCTGGGGGGAACATACACTGCAGTGATGATTGTCGTAGTGAATTCTCTTGGCAAATAGAATGGTCTGCATTTTATTGTTAAAAACTCAATGTCCGGAGAGCAGTGGCTAGAGAGCATTGTCACATTTGTACTCCACTTGTTACTCACACACCACCCCACAGGATTTGCCTGTGAGGTCGGTGCTTCTGTCAGATCGGAATATTGTTAGCCCCTCCATGCTAACAGC